AAGGCCATCTCGAGGGCGAAACATCCACCGGGCGAGGAATTGATGGGCTTTTTCAACCCCAGAGGAAACCTCAAAATGGTGGTCCCCATAGGTGGCCTTTTGGAAAAATAGATGACCCTGGTAAATGGAACAAACCCATCTACGTCTGTTGATATATCGGGTGGATCCGCAAATCCGCGTCCAACTCGCTTTAAGTTGTCCAGCCCAGATCCTAGCCATAGGTAACCAGGAATCTCACCTCTACCGTGGATGGGTTTCCCCCCACCCCTAGAGACCACGCGCAACGCAACCTTTTGGCCGAGCGAAAGAACAAACACGCCGACAAAGCGGCGGATGGATCCGGACGAGTTCTCGTTCGGCGGAGGGAGCCGCCCGTGGAGTAAGCCGTGACCAAACCCTGGTACTCATGTGCGGATCAAACCCACTGAGGGGTATATGTTCATCTATGTGGTATGGGGTCCATAAGGGCCCATGTAAACTTATTTAGCGTAAATTGGCCAAAAGTCCAAAACTGGAGTGGGCTTCTCATGAAGAGATCTGTGGATGGACAAAATCCACGGGATCGATCGCCAGCAGTAGGTGGTGTATCCCGTTGACAGGGTTGATTCATGCCACTGCCGGGCGTCGATTGATTATCCCATAGTGACTAGGCTCATCCCTCATCCCCAACTCATCCCAAGTATTTGAGTTTGTGATTTTCAGGATTCGGACCGATTTTGGACCCCAGAATGGATTTGAGTTTGCTGGTCTTTCTCTTCTTGGCTTCCCTATAAAACCAGCAATAAACGGTGGTACCAACTCCAAGCACGAGCCGAAACATTTCGGCCCATTTCGTTCGGTTTGGATCATGGCCTTCACTCCAGTTCGGAAGCACATCCGGTGCCGAAGGTCCTTCAATTGCTGGGTTTTCTTCGTTTTTTGTTGGGGGCATGTCAAATTGCATGTGTTTTTTTTGTTTTTTTTGTGGGGAGGGGGTCCAAATTGCTGGGTGTTTTTTTTTTTGGGTGGGGGATTCAAATTGCTATTCCCAAAGCGGAATAGGAAAGAGCCCCCAAAAGAGTAATCCAAACACGGCATTAAAATAGTCTACACAGAGCCATGAAAAGAATTGTAAAGGCGGCTGCACCCATTTCTGGTTGGGATTATCCCTTGCTAACCTGCATCTACCCGGGTTGAGCCGCTACTTGCCCGAACCAAGCATAAACGGTGCCATCCTTCCCGGTGAACAATTCGGCTCCGGAGTTGCTCATTTCAAGCAACGAAAAAGCGAGCGAGTCCCGGCACACGGCCGCAAGGGCTTGCGGCGCTTTGCGACGCTGATGGATCCTTTCTGGCCACGGAGATGATCATGGTACAGCAAAGGAACTCCATGAAAGTCGCATTCTTGATTTGGATCGAAGATAACGGAACTTCTCGAGCTCATTTTGATCTTCCACCTGTAATTTACTAGAAAAGAGTGCGGAAAGAGCGCTACAACTGGTGGAATCCATTGTTGGAGCATCTAACGTGTAGTGAGACTTCCAACAAAAGAGCCCTCAACACGAGCCTGTCAGGCCGTCTAACTTCCAGTTCCTGACAAGATCATTTCTCATACTCAGAACTCACGTGGGTGTTCCTTCATGAAGCTGGACGAAATATACTGTCCGGTCACATATGGGTCTGTCTTTTTTGGAAACCCTGTGTTTGGTTGGTTTTAATGGAAACCAAAAGGAAAACCACCATTTTGGTGTGTCGCCTAAAGAAAGACAGATCCATATATGAAGACTGTGAACTTTCCGCTTCACGTTTGCCAGCACTGTTTCTGTGGGGCTCATGGCATTTGGCGATGATGGGAACCACCAACCCAAAGTGGTTAGTGGACATGAATACTCACCTGAATGATATCCACCAAAGGGTCCCTAGTTCAAGTTCATGCCAATTCGGTTTCTGGCTGAAGCGATGCTCAGGTATTCGATTGGAAACTCAACACATGGAAACCCTCCATTGTGATCACTCTGGGGACAAGCCCCGGCCTGGAGTGGATCATCCCGATCGCAGGTCTCGATTCGCAATGAAAACCTCTCGTGGAAATCGCCCACTGTGATACCGCTGCTCGACCTTTCCAAGGGCTTCATTGAGAAGGTATCGCTGCTCTAGAGTTTTCTTTTCTTAAGGCAGGTACCGGTTCCCTTTCACGGTCAACAAAATCCGGTTCCCCTTCCCTTTCACATGGACACCGCCCCAAACCTTTTTCGCATGTCTGAACCTATCGACAGGCTTTCAGCCGGGGAACAAAACGCCCTTATCACAGCTCGAAGCTTCGTCTTTTTTGGGGCAGGGACCGGTGTCAACCAAACATCCGGGCCTGGATGCACCGGAGCCAAGAATTGATGGGCGTCTGTTTGACGCGTTTCGTTTGGAAAAAGACACTCACTGCCTGAGCAAAAGACTTAGGAAGCCCGCCCAAACTTTCTATTTGCCACCATAGGTGTCCTTTTGGACACATGGATGGCTCCGGAAAATTCTATTAGCCAAAGGGAGACCAGGGCCATCAGTTTCCAAACAAACTATAACCTTAAAAGGACACCCATATTTGCCACCAAAATGGTCCAAGCGCACAAAGTGACGAAAGTCCCTCTGAACTCAAGTGAGTCGCAATCAAGACCGATCGGTCTCAACACGGTCTACCCAAAAATCCATGTCTTCGAGAAAGGTTCAGAGGTGGCCGCATCGCTGGGCCAGACGAAGCTTCACTCACCCGGCCGGAAGTTTGAGGATGTCCGAATCCCGGGTCTGAGAGTTTGAACCGTGAAGATGTCCCAAGAGCACATGAAGCGGCCGGCTCAAAGCCTCAAACCGCCCCCCCTCCCACCACAAAAAAAAAACGCAACATCAGCCCAGGTGGTTTTTCTCAACGGGTCCGACGCTGCCTGGAACCCGAACCCCGGAACCCGGAACCCCTCAAAGCTGCCCCAAACCACCCCAAACGAGCATATCTGGACCTATCGACCCCAAAACTGTTCTTTCGCATGTCCAACAAAATCAAAGTACGGAAACCACACAGCAGTGGTTGCTATGGACCGGGATGCTGGAAAGCTGGTGCTTGTTTTGGTTGTTCCAGTTCTGGTCAAGGGTGTTCATTGGAACACATGGGTCTGTTTTTTTTTTAGTTTTTGAGGGGAACGGTTTTTGGGGGGTCGATGGGCAAAAGGGAACCAACAATCTTTGATGGGTACCCTAAAGACAGACCCACATTTGTCCCTGTTCGCAACCAAGCATCTGAAACAAGAAAGGCGTGCACACCTGGGTCTGCACCCTATGGAACCTTGGGTGTCGCTCGTTTCAACGGCAGATGCTTGCTATAATTTGGCAGGTTGGTTCGACGCAAACTTCTGTGATACCAACACGACAACAAAGACTACTACAAGGGCAAAATTGAAAGAAAACACAGACCGGGGCTTGCAGGGTACCTTAAAACCAGATCAAGTCATGATCATAAGAGAATCATGGCTGTGTACTGTGTTTAGCCAGGGCCTAGGTGCCCCGAGCAAAACGGTCGGCGGGGTTTTTCGGCATTTCGTGCAGAGACGTCGGGCCCAATTCACCCGAGCGTAAGAACCCGCTTGGCGGGTCCCTGGGGAGGTCCGTTGAAACTTTACAGCAAAACATCGGGTGCCGGCCCCAATAAACTGATGGTTTCTAACGGACCTCTCACATGAATTCGGGTATATTCTACGCCAGGGATCTCTTTGGAGGTTCTGATGCACCAAAATAGACTTCAACCCGTAGAAGAGGTCGGTTCCTTTCAGATTCCGAGATGAGAGCAGGAACACTTACACTTGGCGACCAATGCTTCTCTTGTTGTTTGATGCAGAAAGTATACATACATGGATGTAGCTTCGGCTAGGCTCCTGACATACTAGAGGCACCAACTGTGCCAGGAGCTGTCTCTCCATCCACATGGCAGGCCGAGGGGGAGTGGCAAAAAGTGCCTGATGTGGACCACCATAATAGGTAGAGGTGGATGTTTTTTCCTCGGGCTGCCTTTTTTTCCAGGGCTGGTTCTTTCCAAAATGTATGAAAACCAGAAACTCGGGCGGTGAGTCACGTGAGTTCGAGGGAATGTTCAACCAACGATGCACAGATCTGCAAATGTTAATCCCCAAATAGGGGAACTTCATCGGTGGAATCCCTCGTTATCCTCGTTGTGAACAACGAACAACCCTCTGCCCAGAAAATGCCACCCCTCCGCATGGGATCTATGTGATCATTCCCCATCCTTCCAGAGGATTTCTCACTGACTTCTCAGCCTGTGTGACCCTGGTACAAAAAGGGAGCCTCTTTCGGGGTTGACTCAATTTGTAGTGAGGAACCCACCAAAAACTGGTGTGCGGAACCAACATGATTTCAAATGCTCAGAACCTCAGCACAAGAGGTGTTTGACCCATTGCTCCGAATGTTCAGAATTTGAACAAGGGCTTTCAAGCTGAACACCTGTTTTCAAGCCGAAGGCCGAAAAGGCCGGCGTCTTGAAAACATAAATGTTTAGACTCCCAGATTCGAAAGCTGAACACGAGGGCCATGAACCATAGGGGATGCATGGCCACCAACCTCCGAGGTGGTTCCCATAAGTTCATGGCCGGATGGGAACCACGATCTCCTCGCGTCTCAGCTAGACCAGGGTTGACTGCGCCCCTTCCGTGACTCAGAAAAGCCACGCCATGGGCGTCGGAAAGCTGGCTGGCTCCTTGAAACAGATGTTGAGCTGACCGGCGGCCGGCGCTTCAAGGCAACCCTGTGGGAAATTCAAGCATAGATCAGGGCTCCCGCCTTCTTTCCCCGACTTCAAACATCACCAACCCATCAACCCACCAAGGGACACTCACCTTTGGGCCAAACAAGATGTTGTTTCAAACCAGCTTTTGAAGGGAAATCACTCGGGAGCCCAGTAGACTCCGGCCCTCAAAACAGGGCCAAGGCTTCGCAAATGCCTCTTGGGCATTGCGGTCTTGAACGCGAAGTCAGTCCCGTCCGGACCTGCGACATGTGGAAGTGTAGAAACCCGCTTACAGGCACAGCTTGTGCCCCCCCCCCAACTTGGTCGGTCTTAAACCCCACGTGAGTCACAATCAAAACCTGGTGTTAAAATGGTCTTCCCAGAACCATGTAAAGAAATAAGAAGGCGGATCTCCGCAGCTATTTCCGGCTGGGACTGCCCCTCACTAACCTTCATCTACCCGGGTTTTGATTGTGGCCCACGTAACTTTCAGCTTTTCTTGGGCCAGCGATCAGAGCCCACCGCCGTTCATTGCTCTCGAGGGAATTGTCCTGGAAGGCGTCTACTTCCGAAGCGGTTAAGAGTCACTTCCTGGCCCTTGGTGTCTGTTTGGGGAAAATCGACGTGGGTGGTTGACTAGAACCTAGCTAAAACCAGGGACATCCATCTTCAGGGAGATCCTACGGATCAAACCCCCTGCTCCGGGTGTGTAGCAAAGACAGAATCTAAAAAATTAAAAACACAAACATATTTGGTGTCATAGATTCCCTGAAACCAGGGGAATCTAAAAAAGAAAAAACAAAACATGTTCCCTTAAAACCAGGGGAACATAAACAGCTCATTTGGGTGTGGCTCATTTTTTAGGGACAGACCGCAGGTTTCCGATCCGCGCATCAAAATCCAGTGATCCTCCAAGGAATCGAGCCCAAATGGTGGCGGGCTCCTGAAAAGGTGTCCCTCCCCCCCCTTAAAAGAAAGCGGAACTGGCAAAGCATTTGATTGAAAAACTCTTCCAAATGGGTGGCTTGTGGCTTTTTGAGGGTAGCCTTCTTGGGGTGGTTTGAAAGAGAAACCAAAAGGAGACAACCGAATCATTCTGTTGGGGTCCGCTGGAAGAGGACGCACCCAAATGAAAAAGCAGCTGGCGAAGTAAATGAACCAAAATGGGTTGGGATGATGCCATCTATCTTCACCCACCAAAATGGGCTTCAAACGCGTTTGAGAAGGTCCCTGGGACATGAATCAATCAACCTCACAAGCAGATTCCCACCTATCGTTGCCCCAAAACCAACATGCATGGCTCCCGGCAAACATGGAAGTCTGCGCACTCGCGTTTGAGACTACGTTTCTAAGATAGTGTCCACTACCCCCAAACCACTACCCCCAAGGGAAATTGTAAATGCAACATGTTTCTAGCTCCATTTTGCCTTGGGGTCAGTGGTTTGGCGGTATTGGAAACCATCTTAGAACCTTCCGTCTGAAAAGGGAGTCTGCAGACTTCGATGTTTGGTGCGAGGGCATCTAAATTGGAAGGGCGTTGATTCTTGTCCGGCTCCAAAAACGGGATGCCCCCCGTTTCAAATCAGCCACTGGGTTGCCTTCTATCGGGTTTTAAGCATGCACTTAGAGGGACTTCCCGTGGCATCGCAGCCTGGGCCACGCCTTTGGTTCATCTCAAACTGATGGGAGGTGAATGGATACGGCCAAACGCGATCCCCTTCTGGTGAAACAACAAGCTGTAGAATGCCGTACCCGCAACCACAACCTTAACTAGTAATGGAAAGCTGTGGACTCTGGCCATGGAAAGAGCCTCTCGGAGCCCCCTACCCGCAACGTTTGAGAATCCGACCCCTCAAACCTTGCGGGTCACGAGAACGGGCGTCTCTTTTTTTAAGCGGAGGTTCCAGAAGGACGTGGTTCATCGTACTTGGCCCTTGGGTTTGCTCCAGGACCCGACTTGGCCCCTTTGGGTTTGCTTGGCCCTTGGGTTTGCTTGGGAAACCACCAAAAACAGCCAGAGGGAAGGAAGGGGGGGGGGCCCGAGCCTCGAAAGGCGATTTTCCGAGCCTTCGATGTCACTCTGGTGGCCTTTTGAAAAAACAGATGGCCCCATGCAAGAAACCCCATCTAAACCAGTGGAACCCATCTAAATGGATGAAACCCCAAACCAGTGGACCACCCATCTACTTTTCATCAAACTCAGCGATCAAAAGGACGCCTATGCTTCGGACCACTCTGGGGCCCCCGGGCGGGTCGAAGTCTTCCAGCAGCTCAGCGGTATCCCCGAGGTCCAGCACCTGGGCAGAGGCTCGCGTTCCGGGGAGCCCGGCGCCGGAAAAATCGAGGGAAGGAGAAAAAGAAAGCCCCGGACAGGGCAAAACAAAATCCAATGAAAATCTAAGGAGCATGAAAGAAGGAAGGAAGGACATGGCGAAAACGACCGATGGCAAAAACAGATCTGATGAAAAAGGCGTGCAAAGCCGACAGATGGCAAAAACAGATCTGATGAAAAAGGTGTGCTTACAGCGAGATAGAAGGAGAGTCCAAGGAGCAATTGATTTTTAGAGGGGCTGTGATGTTTCAAGGCACGTCAAACAAACCAGGTTTGGGGGGTCCGTCGGGATGGGCCTCCCCGATATGAGTGGGGATTGAACTCCCAAGATGTGGGTCATGTGGGTGGACACAATGTCCACTTCGCACCAGTGCGGTGCGTTGCTCCAGTTTCCATAGGGCTTCATTCATCAGAATGGGTGCTCGATTTTGGCCATCAGGATCGAACCCTCACATTGCGCGATTTTATCAAACTCCTGAGAGGTTGACCATCCCTACCAGAGTGGTCATACCATGCCGCGTAGGCCGAGTGGCTGACCACCAAAACACAAGTGGCAAAGGCAGCCCTCGGTTTGGGGCGGGACGGTGGGACTATCTCTGAACAATACCCCCCAAAAATGATCATATCGGCTTGTCATTTTTTATCGGGAACCCCCGCAACATGGGGTCGTTTCCCTTGAAAACCGCTCCAAAAAGAGGATGAGCTCAAACTCAAACACCATGAGATCCAGTGAGGGGAGCCATTGCAACGGAAAAACGTGACTATGAGTGACAAAGGGCCATGACCAGCAAGGACCGAAACCGTCCCATGGCTCCTTTTGCGAGTGGGTCAGCCGATTCAATCCCAATGTGGGCAACCTAACAGCTGTCGTACTGTTCAAATGATCAGATCATATTGCCACGTCCTAAACACAACCTCTGGTATCCACTACGCTTCTGCTGGTTCCTTCGAGTTGGACAACGTGTTCAATGCTTCGGGGTTTCGGGGGATCACACCTCGATTGCGGTTGAAAGGCCAGCGAATTCCCTAGAGACGGATGGCCGCAATGGGTTTCTTGCAAGCGTACCTATATTGTTTGATGGCTTTAAGGGAGAACCAAGAGGAACACCGAAGCCCTTTTGGCTTCCCGTTGAAAACCAAAGGACCAGCAGCCGGGTCCCGACTTGCAACCGCTTCTTCGACCAACCAACATCGCCTTGGTACGGTGACCCAAAAGCAGTGGTTGGGCCCCGGGTTCTGGGAAGCATCCCTTACCCCTTAAAACTCCCTGCGCCCTGGGGAAGTTCTCATCTTTTACGGACAAATTTTGCCCATGTTACCCCCAAAAAGTTGGGAAAAGTGTCGTGTTTTTAAGAGGTAAGAGTCCCTTTGAAAGACGTGCCGCCCACTTTTTTCCGTGGACCGAAGACCAAACCACTACAGCTGAGGCCAGTGCGGTTTGGCCGTCTGGGCTGTCAGCGAGATATCCTCACGGGGGCAGGGCTGCGTTCTCTGGCGGCCCCGGACTGCCAGGCAGGTGGCTCAGAGCAAGGCCCATTCTGAAGAAATTGTTTGGGCGGGTCTGTTTTTGGGGTAAGCCCTTTTGGTTGTACTGTACCCGGAAGAACAAAAGGAAAGCATTGTAACGCATGCTCCCTGATGATACGTATGGTGCAATTAAACATATCAACTGCCCCGGAACCTGCCCCACCAAGCGGAAACCTACAAGAATGCATTCCAATCCCGGGAAGGGCAATTTAAGTTTTTCTTACAATCAAACAAAAGGCTAAGGACTACGTTCTGAGAACAAGTTGCCCCGCAGAGCAATCAAATATTAAACAAGTCGAAAGCTACAGATGTTTGCAAGGGTGATAGTGGCTGAAGCCGCTTTCCCAAGGAATTCCTCACCATGGCCCCAAAAAGAATGGAACCAACCTCCCGTCTGAGGTGTTCCACTTGCTTCATAAAGAATCAAGGCTCGGAAGGGCACCGGTGGCCAAGGTCAAGGCTGGAACCTTCCAAGAGTCAATCTTCAACTCCCACCACCCCCCCCCCCCCGAAAAATCTGATTGGTGCAAACCTGGCGCTTGCCATGTGAGCCTTGAGTACGGTCTCCCCCTTCAAAGCCACAAAAAGGAGGGTACCCTCAAAAATGGACGAGGCCCCGCATATTTTCTGAGACCCCAGAACTCACTTCCTGAGTAGATTGGCCATAAACGTCCAAACTTCTCACTCCCAAAAGGTTGTTAAAGTCGGTTGAGCTGTGGAAACTGTTGCTCCCACCCTCCCTGTGATTGGCTTGTTTCAGCCGGGCCCAAGTGCCAAAAGTTCAGCCTGGGGGCTGGAAGTTCCCAAAAGTCCAGGAACTCGGGTGCCTTGGAGTTCCCCAGCCTTCAGGGGGAGCCAGCGGCATCATCGAGGACACGTTCGGCGGCAGCGCCTGAAAAAACGACGCCGTCCCTCTAACCCGGTGGCAACTCGGGAGACCTGTGGGTTTCTCTCGAAATGGGGGACCCAAAAAGTTGGCGGATGGACTTGAGGGGTTGTCATCATCTTGGCGGTTTGCTTTTTTTTTGCATGTTTAAACCACAAACCTGTGAAACAACCTGCCTTTTCGCCTCCTTGTAAGGCTGGCTTAAGTCACAAGTCTATTGCGCGACCGACCCCCAGACCCCCAGGATCCGAGATGACACAATGCACCTCTTCTGCCCTGGTTGAATGTTCACAGGACCTTCTGATGCAACCGAGTTCCCTACATGTATCCCATCGCCGGATGGAAATTGGGAGGCATCTCCCTTCATATTGGCACCCTCCCAATTCAACCAGTTCCCCAAACTCCCCTCTCGCCGGATCAACCGGAACCCTCAGATTCGCCATTCAAAGGTTGATCTTCCCAGCAGACATGTCCGACGGAAGCTCCGTGCGGCTCGCCCCGCGCCTCGAGGTGTTGGCTTAGCCTCATATCGGTTTCGTCCTGAAGGAACAACCAAAATCTCGCGCAAGGCGGCCTTCACGTGTGCCCAACTGCAAAAAACCCAAGTTCCAGGCAAACAGAACACTTTCCGGGCTTCTTCTGCCTTGGTGGTGGTGGAAACTTGGGCCTCTCTAAGCAACTTCTGAGCTTTTGACTGCACATATGAACCACAGCTTTCCTGTATGGGAATTACGTGAGAGGGATAACGGCATGGTGAGTGCATATCACCCCCCTGTCACAACCAATGGCTGTGTCCTTTTTTGGGGGGCCAAGGAAGAAAGGATTTCGGTGCTCCTTTTGGTTTCCCTTTTAAAACCACCAAGGGGTACCGAGCCTCGTCAAAGAAAGACGAGCCACCCGAAAGGCGGGCCATCGTATCTCTCGAGATAATACGCATTCATCATGTGGGCCGGCCACGTTGTGTGCGGGGCCAGCTGGCTCTATAAGGATGAAGACAGCTTTAAAAAATATTGGGAGGAGGGGGATGGGGGGCGGCCTTTCTCATAAGCTCATAAAAGCAAACCACATTTTGGAGGATTCATTGAAGACAAACACACCCTTTTCTATCCAACCCCCCCCCACGGGTGAAATTGCCTGGAGACCAAATGTTGTCTTCCCTTGGTTCAGCAGCCCAAGCAAGTGCTCAGGGTAATGGATCAGAAAGAGTCGGTTGCCCCATGCAGGGGACGATCTAGCAAGGTGCTTCATCCAGGACGGATGTGGCCATAAGTCAAAATCCAAATCGTACCCCCAGAGAACATCAGCCAATCCTAAAATGGGTGGTGCACCGAAACCCCCAAAATGGGATCCCATTGGTTTGGACTACCACAGCCAAACTTGAAACCTTAAATAGTGCTGAGTGCGGACGGGGGGAAGGCTGGAAAGTGCAAAAATTGGACCTCGGTCTTGCTCAGGGAAACACCTGACGGGGCCTACATTGAGACCCCCATCAGACGTCCATGAGGATTCAGTCGTGTCTCACTTTAAATGTGAATAGTCTGTTCCAACCGACAGAGTGAATGCCAGCAGTAAACAATAGCCCAATGCATAACCCATCTTATGCCTTAGTGTCCCCTGCGCCCGGCCTTGATCCGAAGTGTTGTCATTGGAACAGCCACCGTCGATTTGCTGCTGCAATCATTGGGCAACATTCACGGGAGAACGCGCTAAAAACAGGGAGGTCTTGGGGAAAGGTTGGCTGCCAAGGCTTCGGCAAACATCCGTCAGGATCCTTAAAAGCAACTTCGCAAGGTCTTAGGGACAAGTTGGCTTGGTGGATAATTGTAGAAGCCAACCAAAGGTTCAAGAAAAGAGGAAGCACATCTGCAACGTCCAAAAAGCGCCCCCCCCCAACCAAAAGAAACAAAAACACACAAACACACACACACACACACACACACACACACACACACACACACACACACACACACACACACACACACACACACACACACACACACACACACACACACACACACACACACACACACACACACACACACACACACACACAAACCCCACAAAAACACACAAACACACACACAACGACACACAAACACACACAAACACACACACAAACACACAAACACACACACACACACACCCTCACACAACGACACACAAACACACACAAACAAACAAACAAACAAACAAACAAACAAACAAACAACGCTCAGACGTCCTGTAAACGCGCGTTGTTTTTCGTTCTTTCCCCCCTGTAATGGCCGCAAAGAGGCACCAAGCCAGGCTTGTCATGGAGCCGTTTCGTGGCGAACTGGATGATGTGGCTTCTCTTGGGCGCCACGCGTCCTACTGCATTGACTCTGCGCATGCCGCGTTTCACGCGGGAAATCTGGGATTCGCAGCCTTTGTCCCCACCAAGTGCACGTGCAAATGAACGGGTGTTCTTACCATTTGGCTGGCATGGATGCAGTGCTGCGCGGGTGCACTTGAACGGGTGTTCTTACCATTTGGCTGGCATGGATGCAGTGCTGCGCGGGTGCACTTGAACGGGTGTTCTTACCATTTGGCTGGCATGGATGCAGTGCTGCGCGGGTGCACTTGAACGGGTGTTCTTACCATTTGGCTGGCATGGATGCAGTGCTGCGCGGGTGCACTTGAGCGGGCGTGCCTATCGTGAGTGTGAATTTCCATATAATTCCCGCGTTTTACGTGGTAGTGGCCGGACATGCACGAAACCTGTGAAAAACCATATGATTTGCGCGTTTTTGCGGCCATTACAGGGGGGAAAGAACCAAAAAAAGCGCGCGTTTACAGGACGACCGAGCCACAAACAAACAAACAAACAAACAAACAAACAGACAAACAGACAGACAGACAGACAGACAAACAAACAAACAAACAAACAAGCAAACAACAACATGCAAAGCCCCCAAACCCACCCCAACGCCGACCGCCCCCCTGAAAACCTCCCGTAAAACGCAAATAAATCCGCGTCTGAAACGCTCCTTGGACCAGCGGTTGATGCGGTAGGTGTCCAGCTCCGACGAGCACACCACCTCCATCCGGGTGAAGCCCTGCGCGAAGGTTTGCTGAAACCGGAAGAAAATGCAACGAGGCACATTGCAATGTTGAGGTTGAGACATGTAGGTTGCAAGTACTTATAGCAAAAAGGCATAGAATCAACCTCAAATGCCTCTCTTAGAATTTATACCTATAGCACTTATAGAGGTTGAGACGTGTAGGTTCTTTGGTCTTTGAGACGTTTGCGGCAAGCGTTCTGAGTGAGTATTTGAAACAAATTCTCGCTTCTCCTGGCGGAAACAAGCTCGGCTTGAACACGCCGACCGCTTGGCCGGTCGTCGATTTTTGCTCCATAGCTTCGACTGGTTTGTCATCCCGGAATCCCTTTGCTCCGTCCAAGACCTAAGATGGGTTGGCCAAGCTTCCCTAGCTCGTAAGACCGCGCAATTGGCCACACAAACACAAACTCCTGGTGGGAAAGAACTGCATGTCGGCACCAAAGAGTTATCCTTTTGGAGCCTTCAACAATGAGAGGCATTTCCCGTAGTCAACAAAACTATCTGCGGCCCAAGCAAACCTCCTACCCTCCGCCAATGGGGAGAAACACTTGCACAGAAAAAGAAAACCAAGGTGGGTTCCAGCACACCCCAACAACTGCTTTCTCGCATGTTCAAAATTCAAGAACTGTCCAAAAAGCAGTTGGTGGGGGGGTTGGTTTACCCCTCTTTCTTCTCCGGCAACCAGTGAAGAGCGCCCTCCGCAACGGGTTCAAGATGGGATATTCCGTATAGGAGAAAAAGCCGTACTGTATAGCTCTTCCCTTGGGGTCGTGGTTTGGCGTACAGACCGGCCAAGTTCTCCCGCCTTACCCCCCAATATCCTTCCAAAGGAGCTACCAAGGCTTCGTTTACCTCTGTTCGAAGCAATGGCATCTTGGCGATGGCTCCATTTGAATTGGGAATTTGGACCTGGAGTTGGGTCCGTCTGTTTTAGGGGACCCCCCAAAATGCATCTCGGTCTTCCTGAAAACCCCACCAAAACGCGGTTCTTTTGACAAAAGACCCAGACCCATTTGGGACCTGAAAGGTGTGAATGCGGTCCCCGACGGTCCCAAATCTCTCTCTCGCTCTTTCCTTGCTGGTGCGAAGTCGATGAGCCTTTTCGGGATTCCACGGGTGGTGTGTCTTCGTGGTCCGCACGATTGTATCTAGTATCAAGTCTGACAGGATCTAAAAGGCCTTGCCAATTCAACTTGTTGGCAAATAAAACCGTGGCTGCGTTGGACCATTTCGGGATGGTTTATCTTGGGGTCATGCCCAAACTCTCATTCCCCGCCTACCGCACCAGCAAGTTTCTGGGTGTTGCTCACAATTGGGGCTCCAAAATAGAACCCTGGTAAATAAACAGGTAGACTAAAACCTGCGGTTTGCCCCAGCTGTTTAAATTAGAGGGACACACCCTTCTCGCACCGAATGCAAGATTAGTTGGCCACCGGTTGTAGGGAACCCCCCAAAATGGATTTCGTTTTTCCTGGTTTCCTTCTGGTTTCCATTTAAAACACCCACCAACACGTGTGGTGCTCTTTCTTAAATCCGTGTAAGACACCAAAGCGAAAAAACTCCCTGCTCTCTCGCCACTTCCGCCTTCATATCCGACGGCACGTCCGCCTCTTTGAACTGGTTCTCCACGGTCGCGATGGCAATGCCCAGCCTCGTCGCCTGGCGCTTGGGGTTTCCCATGGTAGAACCTGAGCTCGCGGGCTTAAAGGAGAAGACCCATAGCCATGTGGCTGTGGTTGTCAAACTCCAAATCGGTTAGCCCCCAGCGAACATCCGATTCAATCCCCACTAAAATAGACGAAAATGGGCGGTGAATTCACCTACCCCCAAAATGGGATCCCATTGGTGTTGACCCATAGCCATGTAAAGGGAAAAGGCAAAGGGAATCCTTTAGAGTTCACCCCCGTTCATGTTCCCAGCCCGGATGGTTTCGAAATCCATTTCGCACCTTGGCCCCTTGGCTCCGAGGAGTCCGTTGTAAATACCAACGTTGTGGTTTCAACCATGGTGTCCAAGTGGTGCACAATTGGTGCACAATTGGCCATGGGTCAAAATCCCGGCTAGCCCCCAATGAACATCAACCAATCCCCACAACAGGTTCTAAAATGGGTCTCCATCCACAACGTTTAGCCAACCTCCAAATGGTGCGCATGGAAAGGACCCACCCCTTCCGAATGCTATCTGTGGCTCCTTTCGGCTCAACTTGGCCTGGCTCCGTGCCTGGAATCCTGTTGGTTTTCTTTTAAAACAAAAGCATTTCTCTAAAGGCCTCCAGGGTGCTTCTCAAGATTGGGACCGTGGTTTCCTTTTGGGTTCCCTTTAAAAACAGCTGGCACGCTTGGTTTCTGTCCGATGTGCTATTTCAGTGGTGCCAGTTCCCTTCGAAAATCCTCCCAGCTTTACCTTAGTCTTCGCGGGCAGTCGGTCGCTTGATCCAAACCGCACATACCGAAAGCAACTCCCCTCCATTCATTGCCCGGCTGAAGGTGTGTGTGTGTGTGCGTGTTTTCCGAGGGCAGCCTTTTTCGGCCTTGTTTAAAGGTTGAAACCAAAGCTTGAAACCAAAGGCTCGCCACAGATCTTGGCGGTCGAAATCTGCCAGAATATGTTTTTTCTTTCGGCGTTTTCGTTCTTTCTTCTTTTCCGGCCGTAATCTGCCAGAATCTGTTTTCTCAACTCTGCCTAAATCTGTGGAGCCGGTGATTCAAAAAACAAAAAACCGAGAACTTGCGGTGATGTTTTTTCCGGCCCGAATCCGCCCCCAAATCTGTGGAGCCGGTGTTTCCTTTTTAAAAAAAAGTGCGAGAACCCCACGCCCGAAGCTGGAAAAAACCACCCACACCGCCGCCTGGTGCGGCTCCACCAGGAAGTTGTGGGAGTTGTCGCAGCACGGCGAGTCGCAGGCGACGCTCCAAGGCACCGGCGCCTGAGCGGATCCATCGAGCGGATCCCTCGAGCGGATGGGCGGATGGGCGGATGGGCGGGCGGAACGGCCGGGTGGGTGGAAAACCCCTCAAGTCAGAGATTTTGGAGAGATTCTTGAGAGATGCCCCCAAAATCAGGGGAAAAAGCACCTCGTAATTACAATAGCTCGCAACTGGCAAATTGATGCTCAAAGTCAAAAGAGAAGAAGATCAAAACAAAGCTCAGCAGAGCAAATTGTTGCTGTCGAAGTCGTCGCCTCTCAGAAGCAAACTCAGCTACCGGCCATCACTTTTGGTTACTTGCAGGCTTTGGAAAAAGCCATGGAAGTGTTCTCGCAATCGGAATCGGAGCCCTCAAGATGGCCATTGGAACTCCTTTTGGTCTCAACCAACTGCCACCCTCACCAACCGCCCTCACTCGCCAGCCCACCCGCTGGGGCCACCGGCCCCATTGGAGGCTCCCATGCCTGGCCGATGACGAGCTGAGTTCCGCCTGGGTTTTCAAAAGCCCCAAGAAAGCGGCGAGTTGAACACTCCACCTTCTTTTTCGGACACTCAGTGGAAGTGTGGCCAGGAAATTGTTTGAATGGACCGAATTCCCCCTGCAAGCTTTCCGCAAATTCGATGCCAGGGACCTTTCCCACAAGAAGGTTCGATTTTTTTCCTCCAGTTGCGACCCAGAAAGGTTGACTCTGCTGAACTGGGCAATGCTTGCTCTGGGCTCCTTGTAAAGGGCCGCCTTTTTCTCAAGATTCTGTTCAACACGATGGTTGTTTGCGCCAAGACTCCCGCAACGGTGACCTGAGTTGACCGGAATTGAGCAGCAACCAAAAGCCGAATCGTGGTTCTGCTAACATGGCAATAAAGGCTTAATATAGGCCTTACCATGGGTGATCTTTTTGGAAGCATAGATGGTTGTGGTAAATGGGGGAGAAAAAAACATCTAAACCGGCGGCACCCATCTACTCCCAGCGATTAGAAGGACACCTCGGCTTGGAACCACCTGAGCTTGCCCTCTGGGGACTTTGGGCGAGAGCTGAACCTTCCACTTCTGGCTCCATTCGCGCTCCATTCGCACGTTCGAGTCTAGGATTTGCCTCAAGGACCTGGACCGGAAGCAGAAGTTCACCGCCATCCCTTTTACCCCTTTCGGGGGCTCGTCCGTCGGGGTGTGTCTGGTGAAACCTTGGTCGGAGGCTTGGTCCAAGACCGGATGCCGTTGGGCCATGCCTCCCAAAAAACAGCTCTTATTCGATGGTGAGCCTGAAACCCGGAGGCTGACCGTTCCTAGCAAGTCAGCGCGGGTCTTGACCATGGCACTTGCTTTTAGCCACGGGCCATGATTGTCTTCTTGACATGGGCACTCGGTGACAGTAACCTCCGAAACTTCTCATGGTACCTTCGTGAGTCTTTAGGGTTCCCCATATCTTTCGGTGACAGTAACTCCATGTTTCTCATGGCAAGTCTTTAGGGCATAGTTCTCCCCTTTAAACATCGCCAGGAAATACCCCCCAAAGAATCAGCAGCCCATGGCTTCAACTCCAACGCCAGACAGAACCAGCCCAGGGAAACCCACCGAGGAAAACCGTTCTTGGCCATTCTTGCCCAATGCTTGGTGGCTCCGAATCCCAAGACGACAACAACAATTTTGCTCGCCGACGAGCGACCCCGACGAGTTGCGGCCTCCGAAGGACGGAATCGCAAGGCCGTGGGTTTGAGACGGACCGGACGCTCGGCCTTCGTGTCTTATGAGACGACAGTAGATTAGATCCATTTTAGATGTACCAAGCTATATATGCATCATGTATATCCATTTGGAGATCTTATATCCTGCACATCTAACTCTCATCTGAGACATGCCTTGTCTGCACATCTCTCGTTTTTTGGGGTCAAGCCGCGAAACGCGCGATTCGCTGTGCCCATTTGTCTGAGCCAAGCGAGGCGGCACACGAACCGATTCAAAATGGATGTCAGGTGTCACAATTCCCTTTTCATTGGTCAAAACAGAGAAGAACAATGAGTCTCCACATACTACTACAATTCCAAAAGCTGAAGTGAGGGATCCCCGACAAGTAACGGACAATTATCATGGTGAGCTCGTTTTACCCCCGAATCAGTGAGCTCGCCATAAATTATGCAGAATGAATGGCTTTCAGCACGCCACTACTGCTTCTTGGTTACTTTGGTTGCATAGTTGAAAAAGCAGTTGCAAGTTGGGACCCGGGTGCTGGCTCCTTTTCCAGTTTAGACCAACCTGAACCGGGTACCAGCTCCGAAACATATGCCCAAATTGTCAAAATCGGGGGTCGAGGCCTCAAAAAATATGAAGGGCTTTCTGTTCGGTTCCATGCTAATCTGGGGTCTGTACTTCACATTTTGCCCTCTTTCCAACAGTCCAAAGCCCGGAGTGAAAGCGGGTGCACCCCAAAACTTGGTCCTTTCGAAGTCCTTTCGAGGATCCGAAGGCGACATCCTCCCAAGACTTCTGGGCAACGTGTAGATTTTCTCCAGAAGAAATCCAACTCATTGTTTCGAGGTTGGGCGCCTTCCTCTTGAGGGGGCTACTCTTCTCAAAACCTCCGTGGTGGCCCCCAAAAAACGCGGACGCGGGCCGTCCCCCGAACGACGGGGGAAACTCCACACTCGCAAGCTTTTTTGGGGGGCACACGCCACGAATTTGGGTTGGGACGAGGACCAATTTGGGACAAACGGTGCCAATCCACTAAGGCAAAGAATCAATTGCAGGCAACCTCCCGGGATCGAGTCCGGAGCCAAACAAAAACGCCTATTCCCTGGAAGGCTCTCCTCTATCCGCTATAGAACCTGACTTTCATGAAGGCCTCCTGTTTACGGAAAACTGCCTTTCGAAACCGCCTGTCCAACTTCTCTTTCGGGGAAAAAACAACTGATGGGGAGAACAAGCCAGGCTCAAACCCAGGCCAAAAGGTGCGTAACACCACTCCACCAAATCCCAACTTGCGTGTTTCTTGTCCAAAATCCGCTTGGGAAAAAGAAGAAGAAAAAAAACAACGATATGATAGGAAGACCAACCCAGACTCACGCCCAGCTCTGGATTGGCCACCAAAAGGTGGACCAAAATCCAACTTGCCGTACGGTATCCAAAAAGATGTGGTTGCTATGCTATGCACCCGAACGTCCCAGGACATTAAAACGTTACGAACCCCAGTTGCGCCTGTACGAAGGGGTCGGAGAAGAAGGTTTGTGCCACTGGCAAAACCTCGCCCGTCGAGTTGTGCGGAAAAAAACTGCTGTAGGTTTCTGGGGCTGTGGCATTTTTCAGGCTACCCATTTTGGGTTGGTTGAAAAGGGAAACCAAATGAAAAAAACCAGCCTTCCCCCCTATTTTGACACATACTCATGTGGGTGTGACTTTTGATTTAGGGGCCCTTTGGTGGAAATCAGTTACGTGTCCGAGCTCTGGGTGACTGTCCGGGTTGACAGAACCCAAAGCGAGTCGCGGGATGTTCGAAATGCTCAAACTGGGATTTTCGAAATGGGAACCCCACGTCCTAGCCCTTCAGGCCTGGGCTCCCCCCCTCCCCCGCAGCCCCCGTGATCATCCAGAAGCATTCGTCCGCAATCCTTTGGCAGAAGGATTTGGTGGATTTTGAACTCAGACTGGCCGATGTGGGGGCATCGGCAGGTCAAATGGACACACCCAAGACGGTCTAAGGGCTCAACATAGTAGGTACCAGTGCTAACCTCCGTTGTGACAAGGTACTGGGTAACAACGTTGACCTTCACTTGCTAAAGTCCCCTGAAACACTAAAAACAAAAAACGCCAGTAGTGATGGATTCCCTTTGAAGCCAAGAGCGGAATGTTCCGATGGAAGTCGGTTAAAACAAAAAAAACAAAAAACATCCAGCGGACCCACCGATCAGAGGAACCCCCCCTTGGCACGGGCCCCCAGATTCATCCAAAGCTAAGTCTATGTCAGGTAGTAAGCATTGAGGGCTTGGCCCACCAGTCGGGCATGACTGTAGGCCAAAAGCGTCGAAATCCAAAAAAAAAAAAAACTTCCAGGGCTCGCAAGACGATCTTCTCCTTTTGTCTCAACATCAAAAACCTCCACTTGGATTGTCCTCGGCCTCTTGGAAAAACTCTCTCACAAGGGGGCAAGACTGGCCGTAGTTGTGTGGTCAAACCTGTTGATGTGGGCCATGGGTCTTTCGGCAGGGCTGTGCAAAATGGTCATGGTGGCCAATCCGATTCTCCATCATCCCTATTGGGAAACCACAATGCTTGTCTCGCCACTCGCAAGGACACAGCAGTCCAACACAAGGCGGTTCTCTCCTTTTGGTTTCCCTGTAAAACAACCACAAAAGGGTGCCCTCAAAAAAGACCACCCATTTGGGTGGTGTCTCGAAATGGGGACCTGTAACCTGCAAAACATGCGTGAAGTACCTTACAAAATGACTGGATGTTCCTGGCCATGTGGCATGTGGCCTCAGCCGACGTGATGGAAAACACGAGAACCCCAAGAGAAATCCTCCAAAATTAAACACCCCCCCCAAAAAAAAAAACAAGTTGAAGTCTTAGTGGTCTCCAGGTTTGGAGGTTGCCCTCAAGTTCTTCCGGGCCCTAATGGATGTGAGTTTTACAGGGGATCCACAAATGGCTTTCGTTGTGGCTTTCCTTTAAATCCACCCAAAACAAGAAGGTGCCCTCAAGAAAGACACACCCATTTCAGCTTCCCACTATTTCCAATTTTACCCTTTGCAGGAACCGGGGGTTCAAATCCCCAAACCACCAATCCTAACCACCAACTGGGGGCGGACCTAACACATACCAGCACAAAACATGGAAGTTCACAGGCCCCCCCATAAGACTTCAGTCCTTGGACATGAGTTTGTTCTTGCATGATGTTCCTTCTCAAACTTTTGCCTCACCTCGTTCTTTGCCCTCAAGACCCCAGTTCTACATATTCTATGTCTTTCTGCATGATGCTCCTTCTCAGGGATCCTTACATTGTACACCTGAACATTGCCTTGTAAATGGTGGTGTCCCTAGTTTTGGTGGGAGAAAGCAACATGATTCAAATGGTTCCTTAAAGCTCACCTCCCCCCATCCTTTCCCGGGCCCTTCGAAGCAAAAAACAAGTCATATCCCGCTCCTCGGAGAGCCCGGAGCACTCCACCAGCAAGGCGTCCATCCGCTTCGACTCATCGCCCTTCTCGGCCAGGCGCCTGCCGCAGCATATGTCACCCTCCCATGATCCACACGCATGTGGTATCCAGCACTCTAGGCGTGGATCATGGAAAGGTGAGCATATAATACATATACGCATATTCTAGATATGTATTACACTGGGACCCCAACTGCCAGTCGTTGTTCAGATTGTTCTTCATTTTTGTTGTGGGGGCATTCAAAAAGGTGCACATCCACCTTTGGAGCACACAAGGGCACTGCATGTATGTTGCTTTTCCCAGGCCACAGCATCTTCCCAGGGCCATTACATGGTGCAAGTGTCGGGGACCAAAATCCCAAACTGACGGCAGGCAAGATGCCACTGGGTTGGGGCTTTCCTATTGAGAACCTGAAGAAAACGGGCCAGCCAGCCAGCACCTTCCACAGACTATCAAATGGTATACGCCTTCAGGAAAGCTTGAACATCCTACAGAACACAACCCCTAAGAACAAAATCTAAGACGAAGCAACTGGAAATGCAACGGAAAAGTCAACTACCATAAGGTTCCCTTCGTTTGAGGGATGGCTTTTGAAAGGAGAAGCAACAGGAAACCATGGTAAAACACGAGTGGCTCGTCTTTGTTGAACGGCTCGGTACCCTTCTTTGCTCGTTTGAAGGGAAACCAACAGGGGAAAAACAAAAAGGAGGAAAAAAGCAAAAACACCATTTTGGGGGGTCCCAAAAACAGAAACACACATCATAAAACACTGAGGCGGGCGTTGGTTTCACCAAACATATCCCCCGTGCAAACAATGCGTCTGGGCGACTACCTCGGCTTTTCTGTGCACACGAATCCCGTAACCCCGGAACCGCCGATTTCTCCGCCGATGTCTCCGCCGATTTCCCAGGCGAGGCCTCAGGGCTTCCACCAGGTCTCCGCGCACCCGGCAGCAGAGGCAGCCGTTGGGCATCACGATGGTCTCGGCCGCGGACTGCTCCTGGAGAACTCGGAGCGAGGCTCCGGAGCGAGCGCGGCAGGGGAGGGCGGGGGGAACTGGGTGGCGCGTCTTTTTGGAGGAATCGGACCTCCAAAATGGACTTGGGTTTTCCTCTTGGGGTCCCTTTAGAACAAGTGGTACCCACACACCTATATCCACCCAAGGTGGAATACGAAAGCCCAACCTCAGCGTGTGCCCCCAACCGAAATGTGAACGCATTGACATCCTAAAATGCATCATCCTTTCAAAAAAGACCTTGCGGACCTTCTGGAAACCGCTGGAAAGTTGGGACTTTGGGGGTAATTTGGCCATTGACTCCATCTTAAAATTTATAGGGAAAATGCTTGGTTTGCCTTTTTAAAAGGCCACACCGAGCCACGTGGATGTGCTCCCCCTGTTCTGCGGGTACCACCTGTTTGCCCTTTCTGCTGAAACCCGAAGCGCAGTTTGAGGGTCCAAATCCTAAACGAGGATGCCACTGAACTTGGCTTTTCTGGCACTGCCAAACCCCATTCGAATGTTTGTTGGCCCCTGATATGTATTCTATAGGTTTCTTGGCTTTTTAAGCTTCACTTTTTTGGCCCAGCCGTTGCCCGGGCTTTTCGAGCTGTTTGCAAACCGCTCAAACCGCTGCAGCCGCTCCAGCAGCATGAGCTGATCGTCCACGGGCACGGCCCCGAACTCGTTCTGCACCACCGCGATCTTCTGGCCGTGGCCGAGGCTCTTCAGCACGAAGTTCAGGAACCTGTCGACAAGAAATCCGCCCGGGCTAACGTGGGGGGAGGGTCTTGTTTGGAGGAAAAAACACATTTGTTTGGGTTTAAGGGGGGAGGGTCCTTTTTTCTTGTTTGGGCTGGTAGATAACTCGGTTCTTTGCAGCAGCCACACTAAAAAAGAACAGAACTCAAGAAAAAACAAGCAAGGATTTAGAAACCCATTGGATCAGTAGGGAGTGCTGTGCTGGGTGTTCTTGGCTGGGTGCCAAATTGGGCCTGGTAAATCAGGCAATAACAATCTCATTAGGGGTTCCTGTAGGAACACTAGAAACACTTACAACATACACGCGCTAGTTCAGGAACCCTCGGTGGAGGTTGACCTCCCCCCCCTCATTGGTGGCTTGGACTGGGGTGTTGAAGATCTGCAAGTAGTGGGACACCACCGGGAGAACCACAACCATCTGGCACAAGGATTAGGGAGGGAAGTTCTTCATCCTGGGTCAGCACCCTGGACAACCAACAAACAAAGCAAATAAACACAGCAGTGAAGAAAAAGCTTTGACAAAGCACTAGGTAAACCCGGGGAACAACATGCAGTGTGTGCAAGCAGCAAAACGTGGACATAACTACACCGTACCGGGAAAACAACGAGTTCTGGCTCAAACCAAAACATGCAAGTATAAAATGGAGAAAAACTGACAGTCCAGGAACACTGACAAGCAAACAAAACGAGGAAGCAAAACGGAGAAACAACCTCAAAAACACTGAAACACATCACCCCAAAAACAAGGCAGAGCCACAACAAGCCAATCGGCTCTTCCTGGTCAACTCCTTCTTTTTTTGCTTCGCCGCCTTCCCCGGAAATGCGCGCCATGCGCCACTCGCGCGGCCTGCTTCGAAAAAGCCGAGACCGCAAAAGCGAAGCCGAGGCGCGTGGTCTTGCCCGCGCCCAGGAAGCCGGTCAAGATGGTGGCCGGCACCCGCTGCTCCTGCAGCGACACGCACGCCTCCGCCTGAGCCGAGCGCGGAGGGCGCGGAGGCCCCTGCAAAGAACTACACATAGAAAAGACCTACAAATATGCGTTTCCCTTTCAAACCAACCCACCCTGAAAAGAAAACACAAATCCATTTACAGATGTATATATATATATATATGTATATATCGATATATTTTCATGTATAGCTGCATACAAATATATATATATATAGTACATATTGAAACAGACTTACCCGCCCCATGGCGCAAGCCGACCCCGCCCATTGCGCAACCCAAGCAACGGCTCCCGCCTCGCGCTTCTGCGCCGCCGTGAGGCCGCCGCCCAGCTCGTTCTTCGCCTTCCTCCGCTGAGCCGGGCGCGCTGTGGGTGACCCGTTGGGCTTCAGCATCGGCTTCTAGAGGGATGGGTTCTATGAAGCTTTATGTGCAGGTGTATGGGGTTTGGGGGTACCATATATATATATATATATATATATGCGTGTATGTATGTATGTATGTATGTATGTATGTATGTATGTATGTATGGATGGATGGATGGATGGATGGATGGATGCATGCATGTCTGTATGTATGTATGTATGTACGTATGTATGTATTTATGTATGCATGCATGCATGCATGCATGTCCGTAATGATTGTCCAATGGCACAAGCTGGAGCACTTCCTGTGGACCCATGTTGTATCCCCTGAATTAGATTCCCCTTGTTGACATTATTTTATCAAATTGAGCTTCCTCTAGCAATGATGCGGTGTTTGCTTTTGTGTTGGTTTCCATATGAATCTCCCACTCAGGCTTCAGAAGACATGTTGTTTTCTGAATGTTGTTGGCTTTCATGTGAACCTCCCACTGAAAATTGCCTCTGGACATGATGTGAGGTTGGGGTGCCATATCAATCTGCAGGAGAGAAACGTTTTGGGAATAACAACGGTTGCCACTAAAAAACCGAACAAGAGAGCGGAGTTGGGGCAAATGGAAGCCCAAAATATAAAATATGCATGTCACACATGAGTGACTGGACCACAATCAACCATATACGCGTGGCTAAACGGTCTTGCCTCAAAATTCGGAAACTCCTAAACAACTCCTCAAAAAAATGTGACTTTCTTTTTGGAGTCCCTTTAAAACCAACCAAAGGGGAGTTCAAAAAAACAAAGGCACACTGGTTAAGTGCAGCGTCTCGCAGAAGATGCACATGGCGCAGTGGAGCTCGCTGAAAGCGACTTGGTGGGCCTTGTGGTCTGTGCGTCTTTAAGGGTATGAAATTTACTCGGGGACCATTTGGTGGACGTCATTTAGGTGGGGATTCATGTCCACCAACCGCTGTTGCAGCGGTTCCCTACTAAAACTGACCGGAAGAACTGATGCGCCTGTTGTTTGTTTACGACGGAAACCTGCATGGAAATCATGGTTGATTTGCTGGGAGCGTGTGGCTTACGCACTTCCTATGTCCTTCTTGGTCTAATCCATCTGCATGCTGCCTGTTGGCTGAGAAAATCTGCGGAGCGCGCCGGCCATGTGAGATCTAGTTCCACCATCCCAACTGGTGCGAAGCGAATTTTGTCAATCCGCACTATCGATCAAAATTCCCTGTAGAAAGGAAGATATCCGAAATTGGTGTCCGTAGAGGCCTGATTCGTTCGCATGTTTTTCCCCAGCTGCCGAGTCTGCGCAAGGTAGACAAAGGAACCGTTTTGGTGTTGTAAAATGGGCTGCAGCTAGGGGAATTGGAGCCAAACATGTCCCAAAAGGGCGCAACTGAACAATTTGGTGAATGTGAGCCTCCGTCATGGCACGCAAGTTTTCCACGACTAGCGCCTTTGCTTCAAAAGCATCAGCGCGGGAGTCCCAAAGTCAGAAAGCTCCACTGGCCATGTGTCAAACGTGTGTATGGTGTTCTACGAAATTCGGGCTTTCGCAAGCACCGCAGCCGGAGAAGCTTGTCATGCCAAGTTGATGGCTACGACGACTTGGGAGTGGAATGCAAATGTCCACCTCGGACGAACTCTCCTTTGCGCACATGGATTTCGGAGAGCGGCTTTAATTCTACAACTGCTCCCGATTTAGCCGTCTGGGGTCCCTGATGCCCATCCGAGCTATGATGCGCCATATACGGAGACGGGAGAAACTTTTGTGGCAGAGCTTTCAAGCCAGAGCGACGCCATGATGAAACACCTCACGCAAGTTCTTGGTGCAACACATGGATCATTGATGTGAAAGTGGTGAACTTGATAAGGAGGGCTCAGCTGAGTTGCGCATGTGCTGGAATCCTTTGCAACAATCTGAGCCGTCATGCTCTGCCAAAACCATGCGCTTCAAGAAAAAAACGGTCAGACCAGCGGAGTGAAGCAAGTGGACTTTCTTGGAAAACGCTGTAAGGCCAACGCCTCCGCACCAGTGGCTGCCCACAGGTCCCCACGCCCAGGGCAAGGGCAGCACCGCACAGGCCCGCGCTCTGGAAGCGCAGCCCACTTCAGTTTCGGCCAGGCTTGTCCCCCCTGAAGGAGGTGCGGAGCGGGCAATCTCGCAGCAAATCGATGTCTCCCACCGTGACTGCGGGCACGAGGTAGGCAAGCAACAAGTGCAAGACCACAAACTCCCAGACAAAATCTCTGTGGCCGGGCCACCCCCGAAATTTCAAGAATGCCGCAAGGGACAGAATCCAGTAGCCCGCAATCACGGCGAAGGCTGCCCGGCGCACGCTTGGCACGAGGCCAAGAGCCAATGTGGCGCACCGTGCCCAAATGTCCAGGGCAAAAAAGACGAAGCCCAGAACTTTGCCCTGCGCCGTCTTTGCTTTCGAGCCATCACTCAACATTTCGGCAAGGCTGGTTACTAGGCCGAAGGCCAGGCTTAAGCCCGAAATGGCTACGGATACAAGCTGAAAGGGCTCCACGTGCTGCTCCGTATGGAGTAACACATGCGCCTGCAAGTAGGCCTGCGGAACTGACTCGAACACTCTTGAAAGCAAGACTCATAGTTGCCAACTTCCGGAGACCAAAAGCTGCGGCTTCCACTGCTGGAAATAAGTGGTAACCTCACAGAGGAGACAGATGGCGATCGCAACTGGTGGATCAAGGTCGCTTTCCAGCCAGGAGATGTCATAGAAGCAGAGGTCCCAGTGAACGATGCTGGAGGATGGAATATTGATGGTGGAAGTCAAGTACCTTGGATGCGCCAGCGAAGAGGCAGGCCCAGGCTTGTCCAGCACCTTCAATTGGAGGCGCGATTCATTTATGTTCCGGAGAAGCTGGCGATTGCGTTTCAACAGACAAAGCCGGTCTTCACCTAAGGGCATTTACGGCACTAAGAGGGGAAGATTTCAAACGTCCGTATCTCAGCTCAAGTGGCAAGAGGTTGCTGAAGAAGCTGGTGGAGGCAAGAGAGAAGGACAAGAAGTCCAGCACACCAGAGAAAGACATCTCCAGCATCGGGCGCCGTTGGGGGAAGGCCAGGTGCTGGTGGAGTTGGTGGAATTTGGGCAAATTGAAGGCACGGCTAGGAGTGCTCCGGGATGCGCAAGGGGAAAGGAGTTGGAGGTCGCACCAGGACTGGAAGAGGCTGGCCTTCCTGGCACGAACAAGCTGTTGCTAGGCAAAACGGTGTGGGGGACGTCATGCGGAGCTGCTCTAGTGGCGCAAGCCGTGTCGAGGACCCAAGGGAAAGGTGAGGAGGAGAAAGAGAGGCGCAAGCGAGGGCGAGAAAGCTGTTGGCTTGAAGAAACGGAAGTTGCGACGGCCAGCAGATTCGGGGACTCTTGCGGGAGCGGAGACGGTTTCAGCGAGCCTTCGGAAGAGGAGCTCAGAGGTAGACCGCGAGCGCAAAGGAGAGCCGCGACGCGAGGAGGGACCGATTGAAAGCGCCGCAGAAATCGGACCGGAAGCCAGGGAGAATTCTGGAGATGCTGGTCAGGGAAGTGGAACGACTTTGCAAGGAGTGGAGAGGCAGATTATCGAGGGAGTCTGACCGTCTCACTCATCTCTGCTTCGTTGTCTTTCTTGGGTCGCCTCCTTGGCCCCGCTGGTCTTGGCTCTCTTCCCCGTGCGCTCGTCTCCTTCTGAGCCTTCTCTCTCTCTCTCTCTCTCTCTCTCTCTCTCTCGGCGGGTTCTCCTCTCGCTCTTCTCCTCACGTCGCCTCTTTCTAGAACCTTCCTCAGCCAACACCATGTAGGCCTGGGACTCGTCTTGGGCCGGCTCTGTGTGCAACGCGGGCTCCTCTTCTGACTCCTCAGCGTAGGTATGCTCACTTTCTTCCTTCTTCTTTTCTTCGGCCCGGGCTTGCGAACCTGTGCCTGAAGCAGTGGTCCTTAACTCCACCAGCCCTGGATCTGCCGAGTGGCAGAACAGAGAATGCTGTCTAGCCTCGCGTCCTCAAAAGACCTGTCAATTCTCACCTGGGCCTCGCACTTCAAACACAGAGTACGCCTCACGGCAACTCCTCTTTGACAGCGAGAGCACATTCACGAAAACTTGATCGCTAAAATGCAAGGCGGACATGCTGCGAGAACCATGGGAGACCCGAAATAGGATCCAAGAAATTTCGATGCTGCAAACATGGTTGCTCTCTGGTGCAAACATGAACAGAGCCCGTTTACTACCAATTCAACCGGTCCCCTGGGATGCTAGAGTGTACAAACATGATTGCCCCCTGGCACAAGGGGAGGAGCCCGTTTATTGGAACCCGTACGGGTCCCGCTCGAACCAATGCAAACATTCACTTTTGCTTTCCCACTCGAAACCCAACCTTTCCAACCTCCTGGTCCATGGAGACGGTCGGATCTTTTCCGGGACAAACCCATGATGCCTCTGTGAACTGGTCCCCATCTCTTGCCTTTGAGCCCGTCTGCCGTGACGCCCGTTTAGTGAGCAGCAAGAACGCTGCTAACGGGACGAATGGATGAGGAAGAGCCTGTTTTGATCCTGGACCCGGTGACTGAAACTCACCTCTCAGTCGAAAGACACCTTCCGTTTCATACGAAACCCGAGCTGACGGTTGGTACCAACCTGGTACAGGTTGACCATTTCCCTACAGTTTTGGCGGAACCATACCGAATTCCAGATTCAGAGCCGTAGCAAGGGGAGGCGTTGCAGCGTCAGTGACTAGGGACCACTGAGCACCAGAAAGTGGCAATGGCATAAGCTTGTCATGGCTCCCCTTAGCTCTGAATCACGTTTGCTGGTGGGTAAAGGTTCGAGGAGCGACCAGATTGCGATTCACGTAGCTTGCGGCACAAACAGTGCTCGCGCCAAGACCCAAGCACATGGTTGTGGGAATCACCCTCCCTTCCACTTTACATGGTACAGTACCTGACACGGGGTCAGCTCAAACCAAGTAAGTTAGTTGCTCTTCCAGGTATCTTCCCGTAGGTGCGATGTTGGTGGGAAGGGCGAC